AGAACAGATGTTCATTCTAGGAAGAAAGAAAGTGATTAACTTTCACACTCCAGAAAGAAAGTTCTTTAACTTCTCTCTTTCTTCATTGTTATCTAGGCCACAGTCAGACCTTGTTGGGAGTGATGGGAAGTGGGAGTGTGCCCCCAGCAGGCAGCTGGAGAGAGTGCATGGCACAGCTTAGCAGAAGGATTAGTTCAGCTGTCATCTATAGGGCAGAATGGAGAATTTGCAATTTTGAGGCAGATCATCTGGGAGTTTTATATGATAGCCTGATTAAGTGTAGATAGAGCAAATGAAAAAGAAATCTGGACGCTGGCTATAACTTTGGTTCCTGGGTCCAAGCACACACAGGCAGCATATGGAAAAACCTTTCAGAACCCATTCTTAAGGCAGGCATCCACAGGCAGGTGAGATCAGCTTCTCTGACCCTCAAGATACTAGAACTATGACCAAACTTTGACTCAAAATAATCTAAGCCTAGTGAAGGAAAGAATGACCCATCTTCATAAGAAAGTAACATCATTTGGAACTTCTATATCCTTTTAAACAAAATATCCAGAACTTAAGTAAATAATACGTGATTAAACCTGCCAAATAATAAGATCTTATAATGGAAAACCAGGAGAAACCCACAGAAAATAGAAATACATCCACAAATACTCCTGACAAGGCTTTTAAACTAATTGTGATCAAAATATTTAAGAAATTAGAGGCTCGGTGCCTGTGGTTCAAGGCTAAGGCGCCAGCCACATACACCTAAGGTGGCGGGTTCGAATCCAGCCCGGCCCCACCAAAACAACAATGGCTGCAACCAAAAAATGGCCAGGCGTTGTGGCGGGTGCCTGTGGTTCCAGCTACTTGGGAGGCTGAGGCAGGAGACTCGCTTGAGCCCAGGAGTTGGAGGTTGCTGTGAGCAGTGAAGCCATAGCACTCTACCCAGGGGGACAACTTGAGGCTCTGTCTCAAAAAAAAAAGAAATTAGAAGAAAAGATGAAAAAAACGAAATCATTATGAGAAAATTTCACCACCTAGAATGTATAAAACTCACACTTTCTAAAACTAAAAATATTTTACATCTAATAGTAGGCACTCTAGTGGGTTAGACAGCAGAGTAGACACAGGTAAAGGTAGGAGTACTGATGACAGATGCATTCAAATGGAAGCAGAGATGAAAAAGGTATAGAGAATTCAGAAAAACATAGACACAAGATGGAAACAGTGAAAATGTTGAGTGCTAAGAATAGGGAAGACTTTGGAGCAAAACAATATTTGTAGGGGTGATACTGATAATTTCCCCAATGTGACTAAAAACATTAACTTACACATTTAAGAAACAATGAGAATCCCCAAGAAGTAAAAATAGAGGAAAAAAAAATACACCCACCCGGCACAAACATACACAAAAAAAGTTTTTTTAACAGGGTAAATAATAAAAGACACACAACGTTAATAGAGCAATAGCAATATTGGCAACTGAAGTCTCAATGATGACACCCAGAAGACAATGTAATAACGTCTTTAAAGTACTGAAAAAAATGCCAATCTCAGCTTTTACGCTTTGCAAATTCTATCCTAAAAATGAAACAAAAGCATTTTCAGGTACACATACAAAAACCCTGAGCGAGTTCATCCCTGAGAGACTGTTACAAAAACATATTAAAGGGCAGTTCTTCAGCAGAGGGAAAGTTATCCCCAAATAAAACACAGAAATGTAAGAAAAAATAAAGAGCAATCTATAAGTAAGCTAAGTAGTGAAAACAAATGACTATGGATTGCATGTTAACTGTGCAATGCAATGTTATTCTGTGGGGTTATAAATATTTATAGGATTAAAATGCATAAAACCTGTAAAACAGAAGGGGAGTAAATGGAGTTAAAATGCTCTGAATTTGCAATATTTTAAGGGAAGGGGCAAAATAATTTTTGTTTACAAAAGCACATTTTCAATTTAGCACACACTAACCCGCCCCCCCCCCAAAAAAAACTCTGGTGTGTCAGAAAAATTAAATCTTATGGAAAAATCATTATTGGAAATAAAGAGGACATTTAAGAATACATACATCACTTTTATTGTGAGTCTCTTACATTTAATACGTGTCTTCCATAAACTCCATTTGGCTGGATCCTGTTTTAAGTCAATTAAATAAATTTGGTCTTTTAATTGGACTATTTATTCTATTTGCATTTAATATAATTTCTGATTGGAATTGTGTTCAATACATCATCTCAATATTTGAAATCCGGAATTCTGCTAAAGGAGCCAGATGATTCCCCTACTGTCTTGCCAAATGATTTAATCTCTCTGCACCCTGACGTTGCTCTCTTGGCTTGCACTTGCCTCCGAGTTTTAAACTAAGTCACTTAGAAGCATGGTAGCTGCAAGTCTACGGAGAAAGGCACGCCAGAGAAGAGGAGAATAGATGTGGACATCTGCTAGCCTGTAGGATTCTCTGTAAACCAAGTAAAGGGAAGGGGAAAGCAAGAAATCCAAAAAGAGAGAAAAACAGCTTTCAAATATATTGGCAGGGAGCCACATGTAAAATTTCTTCGTGGCTTCCCATTCTTCTTGGGTCAAGATTTTAAAACCTGGGCTTAGGAGACTCACAGTGTTTTTCTGTAATGTATAATAAGAAGGTGTGATGTGTGTGTGTGTAAAACTCCATATAATAATACATTACACAACTCATGGGACTGCCATTGTGAGGGTTGAATGAAATGAGACAACGTTCAGGCAAGCACGTAGGGTAGCCCTGACACGTCAGAGGGACATTTAACATGTGTTTCTCGTAGCTGAGAGAGATCGTGACAGTTTATAATAAGAAAGAGAACTTGAGACAAGTGACACGTTCTTGATTTTACTTTCCTCCTTCAGGAGTCAGCCCTTCCAGACCAATAGCCAAAGAGCTCATGGTGGCACATCCACTCTTGACTTAGATGAAGACACAGTATAACTTCATGACTACTTGATGAAACTACTTTCTACCAAGAAAGATAAAAGGCAAGGAGAGGGCGGAGCCTGTGGCTCAAAGGAGTGGGGTGCTGGCTTCAAGTACCAAGTTCAAGCCCAGCCCCGGGCCAAAAACTGCAAAAAAAAAAAAAAAAAGCAAGTAGAGAGATGACCCGAGTGTAATGAGACAACCTGAGGCACAAACCACAAGAAAATGCTCAGTTAAGTAGGTCACAACTCCTTGAATTATAATTCACTCCCACAAATGCAGAGACTCCCTAGAGCAAAGCTATTATTATTTAAAAAACCATTTTATTGAGGTACAAATTATATGGTGTAAAATCTGCCAATTGCAAGCATATAACTGAAGGAGCCTCAGCAAATAACTACAGTGGTAACTGACGTGATATGAAATATTTCCATCACCCCAAAGGTTCCCACATGCTTCTTTGAAGCCAATACCTTCCCCTAAAACCTGGGGCTTGGGCTACACTAATTTGCTTTTTGTAACATTAGTTTTGTCTTTTTTAGAAAAAGGAAATCATACAATATTTAATCTTTCATTTAGTACCGTGTTTCTTAACTTTTCTTGTATTATTATCCTTCAAAGAAATTTTTTCCTCCTCTTCATGAAATTTTGATCCCACAGATACATCTGTATAACTGTTTGTATATCGTGTATTATATGTATATATTATACATACATATACACACACATAGATATAGAGTAAGATTTTTTTCACACCTCAAGAAGGAATTTTTGCCCCTTTGGGGGATGTGAGATACTACTTCCCTATTGAAAATACATGATTTAGTATAATGTTTTTGAGATTTGCCAGTACTGTGTATATTAGAAATTGGTTCTTTTTTATTGTTGGGTAATATTTGATTGTACGAAAAAAATTCAAGAAATGAATAATAATTGTAAATGTGCTGCAGAGGACAGTACATAATTTCATTACTGTTTTTTCCCACATAGGAGCCCCCCCCCCCCGTCAATAAAGGCACGTCTAATAGCACAATTGTTTGAGTCAGAAATCTGGGAGTGGTTAAGACACTTCCCTGTCCCACATTTCCCCACATCCAATCCATCACAGCCTGCCAAGTTCATCTCTGGATTAATCTGGTCTCCAGGGGTCGGGCTTTAAGTACACGGTAGGCATGTAAAGATATTAATGTTATCTCAAAAGAGATGAGAAGCCATTGGAAGAGATTTAAATAAGAAAATATGATGTGACTTGCTTAGCGAAATTAAAAGATTTTGAAATATTTCATAGTAAGTAATAAATTACAATATGGATCGTGACTTAGAAGGGACTCAGAGTGTATAGAGAGGGGATCTTTCAGGAGTCCAGAGGAGAAATGACAGTGGCTCTCTAATGAATTTGGAAGGCATTTGAAGGGTGGGGATAGGAGAACTGGGAGATACACTACATATTCAGTGGTGCCTATGGGAAGAATTTAGCCAAGGCCTCAGTGCCAGATGACAATCTGACTGTAATGAGAAAGGCAGATAAAACTTCCCATTGCTTGCTGCTGCCTTGCCTTAGCCAATATTTTTTTCAAATTAATTGACATATTAAGTGAATATTTATTCCTGGGTCATTTGCTAATGAGTTAGAAGGAATTAGAGAATTAGAATCATGCCTAAAAGAATAAAAAAAAAAAAAAACTGTGTACTTCATGCAACCATTCATTTCCATCCATCTTACAGTTTTTCTCAGGGTTGCTATAGTACGAGCCTGCACGGACCAGCTCCAGATGGGCTGCAAACCCTCCAGAAGTTTTATGCAAATTGTTTTGTCTACGTACATATATTACATGTCTCTGGGGGCATCTCCAAGATTAAGATTAGGTTTTTATTCCCCTTAAAGATTAAAAATCAATGGCTTAATGTGTTTTAGATACAAACATGCATATGATGTAATGTTCATTTGTGAAGCACACGAAGTTTATGTCATGGAAACAGATAAATTACAAAGCCATTCTGTCACTGCTGTGGGAGTTTGTCAGTTACTCTGGTGCTTTGTCTCTTCTAGGTGACTTCTGAAGTATGGCTGGCCCCAACATCTCCAGGAATTCTTCTTGCAATCCTGCACTGACGCCCCATTTAACCAGTCTCTACCTCGTGGTGCTCATTGGCGGGCTGGTGGGTGTCATCTGCATTCTGTTTCTGCTGGTGAAAATGAACACCCGGTCTGTGACCACCACGGCGGTTGTGAACTTGGTGGTGGTCCACAGTGTTTTCCTGCTGACGGTGCCTTTCCGCCTAGTCTACCTCATCAAGCTGACTTGGACATTTGGGCTGCCCTTCTGCAAGTTCGTGAGTGCCATGCTGCACATCCACATGTACCTCACGTTCCTGTTCTACGTGGTGATCCTGGTCACCAGGTACCTCATCTTCTTCAAGTGCAAGGACAAAGTGGAATTCTACAGAAAGCTGCACGCTGTGGCTGCCAGTGCTGGCATGTGGATGCTGGTGATCATCATTGTGGTGCCCCTGGTTGTTTCCCAGTACGGAAGGCAGGAGGAGTACAATGCCACGCTCTGTTTTAAATTCCACAAAGAACTGGCTCACGTGGATGTACAAGTCATCAACTACCTGATGGCTGCTGTCGTCATAGCCATTGCAGTGATTCTCTTGGTCTTCCAGGTCTTCATCATCATGTCGATGGTGCGGAAGCTGGGTCACTCCTTGCTCTCCCACCAGGAGTTCTGGGCTCAACTGAAAAACCTATTTTTTATAGGGATCATCCTTATTTGTTTCCTTCCCTACCAGTTCTTTAGGATCTATTACTTACCACACTCCAATGACTGTAATGTTGCATTTTACAATGAAATCCTCTTGAGTGTAACAGCAATCAGCTGCTGTGACCTGCTGCTGTTTGTTTTGGGAGGAAGCCGTTGGTTTAAGCAAAAGATAATTGACATGTGGAATTGTGTTGTGTGCTGTTAGCCCAAATCTCAGTCTTCATAATAGCTTCCTTTATATTGGGAATGAGAATGGGCACAGGGAATGTCAGAATGGTATTTCATTACATGATCAAAACCATGCCTTGATCTAGCCAAACAAGAGGATTATATAATGTTAGAACACTCATCCTAGTCCTTCTTTGATCCTGTGGTGTCTGAATGATGCCCATACAAAGACCAGTGATGCTGAAGCCACCTGGAGTTGCAATACTGCATTACACGTATTTTCCAATACAGAACGTCTGATTGGCCTATTTAGGCAACATGAGCCTAGCAAGTTTTAAAGTTTCATTACCTCATTCTAATTTTCTCCACTGGAAGCATGGCCTCCTTAAAGGCTTTGAACTGGATTCAACTCTTTAGTTCTTTTCACTCCACTTCTCCTAAGATAAATTTATCCTGGGTGTGATTTAGCTCCAAAGACACAAACTCTACTTGGCTAACCAGATAAGATGTCCCATTCATCTCATAACCTGACAAAAACAAATAAGGGAAGAGAATAATAAGAAACTTTTCAAGATTATAAAAACTCTGATGGGAAGTCAGTTATCTAGGAATCAAGAGAAAGGAACTTGTGGCCTTCCGTTATAACAAGATTTTCTAGATTTGTTCTTTGACAGGTCAACTTTAAGGACATGGAAATCAACTTTCTCAATATTACCAATTGTACTGTTGCTAAAAAAATCATTTCAAAGTTTACTGAACATGTATAAATAATGGTCAAACTATGACTTAGAGACTTTTCTTGAACAAAGCATTAAAATGTGTTCCCAAGGGAAGTGATTTTTTTCCTTTTCTGATTTCTGAGAGAATTTCTCAGTGTACTGGGCCCCAGTTCATTTAGATTAGTTTTGGGAAAAGAAAGTTATATTGAAATACTTATAGTTCCCTTACATTCTTAAAGTAATGTGTTTTTAAATAAATGAAAACTAAAAACAGGGACTGGTGGGAAATTTATGTACGTATTTAAAATCACATTAAGTTATATTGTGAGATTAGGCTACATAAAGAAGGTTTTCTGAATATTTGAGGAATGGATGATAAACATACTTGAAAGTAATAAATTTACAATTCTTTAAAATGTTAAATAATTTAGATTTTCTTATTATATTTGGAGTCACTTTTTATGAAATTTGATTCATAATTTGTGACATGTAAATGTTAATTGAGTTTATTTCAAGAATCTCCATTGCTGGCTAGCTTGATACACAGATTTGTGGGGTTTTGCTTTTTTGCTTTTTGGGTTTTGTTTTTCCTCTTCCCCATATTTCTTTGCCCTTAATATTCTCAAAACTATCCCAGGAGCTTAGTCTTCTATTTAATGCTTTGGAAAATCCAAAGTAATTAATGATATGAATAGAAGAACTGAATGAATTAAGAAGACGTTTTCTTTTTCATCAAGGTAAATCTTCCAGAATTAAGTTTTTCTTAATTTGTTATCACTTTACAAATCTACAGATTGTTCAGATGAATAATCAATATCCTTGTGAGCTTCTGTGCTCTCATTACTCAGTTATAGAAATTAATTCTGAGGATGAAAAAGTAGCAATGTAGTTCAAACATGACTTGTTTCAATTTTTTTCCTTTTTAAAATTTTCTTTTATCTTTCCTTTCTGAAAAAGTTATATTTCCCTTATTTCTTGTTTGTGTTTTGTTTTCTTAGTTTTTTCTTTCTCACTTTGACCACAAAATTCATGAGACAATTACTACAAACTATAAATGTCTGGAGAAAATTTGTAGTGCCCATACAGTGTATAAGAAAATTAAAAAAATAGAAAAATATTTAAATTAAAAAACCAGTTGTGGGAATTTCATTATGTTTATTTTTCTCATGACTATCATAATTTTATCTTGTAGATTGTATTATTTTCCCTTCCTGATTTTAGATATGTTTAGAGATAAGGCAATTCTTATTTTCTTTGTATTAATAGATTATTATATAATGTTAATATAACACCATGTTCTATTAATATGTTATAATAAAGGGCTTATTTTTGTAGACATGTAAGAAATAATACTCAAAATACAAAAATACAATATTCCATATCTTATTCATCACTATTTATAAAATAAATAGAAAATTTTATTATCTTTAATTGCTATAGAAATAAATTTCCCATGAGAGTGGGGAGTGACCTGGTCCTCTAGAGCCAGAATACCAGCATCATAAGAGGGCACTAGTGTTTGCTGGCGGGGATCAGGGAATAGACATCTTGCCATAATTATACTCAACTGTCTGTACAAAAAACAATTATCTAGTCTTGGTCCATATTTGAATATTGTATTAAACATTCATGAAGTGAAATATACTCATAATAACCAGAGAAGTTACTGGGTTTTATTCAGTTTTTATAAACACACGGTATTTTTTTGGTGTGGTTTTAATTTTCTAAATTTTCTGGAAATGTAGCTGTCATGGATACTAAAGAAAGATTTTGTTTTGGTGTCTGCAGAACATTACTGGGAGTTGTTAATTCCCTTGAAAAATCACATTATTAATAGCAGCACCATCTACAACATTAAAATAGGGCACAGCACACCAGTAAGCAATAATATTAGTATTTAGGGAGATATTGGATATAGTTGTGAAATTTTGTCTTTTTTTTTTTGTGATCAGCTCTGAGCATTTATACAGTGAAATTCATATTATTTTACTGTAAATAACTTTCTTTTCATTACTTATTTATATTACAGTTGGAATATTATGTATACAAATAATACATATGTTTGCATTATTAATTAGGGAGTATATGAATTTCATTTTAGAATGATAGGGATTGGGTGGAAGAGAGTTGAGAACTACTGTGTTTCCCTGAAAATAAGACCTACCCAAAAAATAAGCCCCAGCAAGATTTCTATGCATCTGTTTAGTATAAGCTTACCCCAATAATAAGACCTACTTATGGGCGTGGCTATGCAGCGTATCTATATAACCACACCATGCATTTTGGCGTGGAGCAAGACATCCCCTGAAAATAACCTCTAGTGTCTCTTCTTGAGGGAAAATAAACATACCACAGTGTCTTATTTTCAGGGAAACACACTACCGTGCACCCACAAGGGTCTGTGCAAAATTTTAACATTACAAACAGGACAAATCTCATCTTGATTCAATTCTAAATTATCTCTTTGTTTCTACAGTGATTCGGTATAACTTTCAGGAAAATCCAAAGAAAATATATGTGTGTATTTTCTTCCTTAGTAAGAAAAAGGCATTTCCCTGAGTCACACAACTCTGAAACTGGCTCATGATCTCTGCTAGATTTGGAACTGAGGGAAAATAGTTTTAGAGGTCCAGGCAGAAAGATTGCTTCTAGCACCCATTAAAAGTGCCTTTATTCAGCTTTTGTTTATTTCTTACTTTTCCTGTGAAAGGGTCATTGAATTCCCTTGCTTCCCTCTGCAACTTCACATAAATTAGAAAGAAAGAGGCTGTTTCCCTTACAGGTGAAATGAGCTCAGCACGGAGTGACTCTGGAGGTGCTAGCAAATCTCTCCTTCCTCCCCAAGTCATCCTTCCTGAAGTGGCCATTAAAATTGAGTTTGGGGTTCATATTCAACCTTTGGAAGCAGAACATACAGCCAATCCACTCAGTCATCAGCTTTTGTGTGTGAGGTCAGTGAGATGAACATGTGTAGGGCTGTCATAGCTTTGATTGGAGAGATTTTGTCCACTTTCCTCTAATAAGATAAAGCATCAGTTAAGGGACTGTCACATCTATTAGGACTGATAGAAAGAAGTAAATTCTTCTGGCAATGGGGCTGATTGGAGCGTTTTGTAATTAGTTGCTAGCCAGGGCTCTATGGTAAAGGGACACAGTGCTAGCAGAGCTGCTCAGAGAGCACCAAGAAGGAGCAGCATGTCAAAGGGCTCCTGCAGGCATCAGAAACCAGCAGAAGTGGATGGGGGAAAGGCCCTGATCTATCTGAGAACCACTGCTGAGAGCAGGAGGCTTTGGGTGGGCCTTGCTCCAGGCTTCTGAGAAAGCAGGAACAGCACTTGGAGGACAGACAGAACCATGGAGGCAGAACAGAAGGAAGACAGCTTTGACCAGGAGCTAGAAACAATGATGCTGCAGAGGGTGGTTTGTTTTGTCCTAGTATTTTATTTTATTTCATTTTTTTGAGACAGCATCTCACTCTGTCACCATGGGTAGATGCCGTGGTGACATAGCTCATAGCAACTTCAACCTCTTGGGCTTGAGTAATCTTCTTGCCTCAGCCCTCCGAGTAGCTGGGACTACAGGTGTGCCCCACCATGCCTGGTTAGTTTTTCTTAGTAGTAGTAGTAGAAACGGGGATCTTGTTCTTGCTCAGGCTGGTCTTGAACTCATGAGCTCAAGCAATCCACCCATCTCAGCCTCCCAGAGCACTAGGATTATAGTCATGTGATACTGTGCTGGCTTGTTCTAGTATTTTATGTCACTGGTAATGAATGATTCCTGCCTTTTGTTGCTAATCACGTTGTGAATCTAACAGAGAGCAACATGTGGTTAAAAAGATGTGATGATCATTGTCTACCTGACCGGAAGCTTTGGACAGGATCATTCTGCTTATCCCTAAATAAGCTAAGAAATGAATTATCTCAAATTTAAAGAAGAAAGAGTTTCCTTTTTGTTCTCAGGAGAACACCATCTTACATGTGAAGAGTAAACACTCATCAAAGACTATCTTGCCTCTGGAAGCCCTTCTTCAAATCTTCTTACTGTCTGGTGGGGCCACAGAATCTCAAGTACAGGAGAGTTCAGAAAGACATCTAGGCTAGTTCTGGAAAGATGTTTAATTGTACGCACAAAGTGCACTCACTGTCCAGCTGGGCATCTCATTCTCTGATTTGTCCTTTGCAGAATTAATTTCATGACCTTAACAGCATTACCCAGTGGGTCATACTACTGATATACATTTAAGAATGGCTAAGATGATTATTTTTATGTTGTGTATATTTGACACAATAACAACTTTTTAAAAAAATTAGGAGAGTTG